CAAAAACCAATAATATAAAGTTGATCATGAAGAATCTTTGATCAACTTTAATATTGCATTATGAAAGAAACTTGTGTTTGATGATTGTGAAGAATCTTTATAAGTGTCATGTGCAGTTTCCTTTTTAGTATTAAATTTGGATATCAAAGTCCTATTATGATCCTATTACAATCTACGTTAGATACCTAATTTTGAAACATTATAAAATTTTTTTTATAAAATAGATAATATATAGCATTCAACATGTGAAATGCTTTTATTTTAGCTTAGAAAGTGGGGTAAGGCTTAATAAAATTTTGAATAATAGGCCTTTAAAAATTTAAGCATATAAATATGTACGCTTTACAGTTTAAAGATAGTAGTAAACTGGTTTGAATTACTTTTTTTAAAGATATTGATGCTTTCTGGTATTGGACCAAAAGAAAATCTTTAAGAAAATAATATAAAAATGCATAAAGAACTGCTAGTTGGAAAAAATTTGTGGAATCATCCATCCTGTATATTTACTGCAAAAGCAAATCCAGATGAAATTCATTATTTGAGTAATGGATATGAAATTGAATAATACATAAAGCTAATGTTGAAGGAAAGATTCTTTGCAAAGAAGACTTTTTTGATGAGAATCCAGATATACAGATTACTGGTATATTTTAGTTACAGTAAATATGTATTTATATAACTATATTTATTTACTATAGTATTATATAAACAGTGACACTATACAGAACTGGTTTTATAAAAGAATTATCAAATCATAAAATCAGTAGGATTATTATGTTGACAGTTCTTAATATACCATCAAGTGTTAATTATCTAGAACTTAATAGCAACAATCCATTCGATAAACAAAGACTACATCTAAATTATTTTGAAAAATCTGATGATTTATATAGAATGATTAGTGCACTTAAATTATGTCGTGAAATACTTAAGCAGCCACCATTGAGTACTATTTACAATATTAAAAAAGTTGAGATATATGATGAATACAGACAATGGAGTACCAACAAGGATGATATTAGTGATGAGGATTGTGAAACATTTGTTATAGAAAGGGTTTGTATTTTTACATTATGAATAGATGTTATTCATATAAAATATTTAATATCATCATTATCTTATTTTTTATATTTAGGCAACTACAACGTTTCATTCAAGTGGAATAGTAAAAATAGCACCAGAATCTAAAGATAGAGTAGTCAATCATTGACTTCAAGTTTATAGTACTACAAATCTTCATGTTGTTGATGCATTAATATTTCCTTATATTCCAAGCGGAAACATTAATGCACCCACAGCTATGGTTGCCTGGAGAGAAAGTTGGTTAATTATTAAAAATTATATAAAAAAAAGTTAACTGAATTATGTTTTTAGACTATGAAATTCTATCAGATTAAATTTCAATTTATTGATTAGTATTAGATATTCAGTATTTTGTAAGTTAGATATGTATACCCTAGAAACTAGTGTGACTATAAAAGCAGTTTATAATTATTTTTTATGATAATAAAATATATTTGCTCATATCTGACAATGCATTTTCGCTTTTTTCGATTTGTTCTATTCTTCGCTTTATGAACACGTGATGGTATATTAAGAACTGTCAACATA